ATAATTCGGCGTAACTTTGGAACTGACAGCAGAGGTACATTCCAGCAAGCGGTAAAACAGCAAAAATGATGAAAAAATTCCACGAAAAATAAAAGAAAAGAAGAAGCCTACAACACGGGGTATTCCCAGGCGGTCACCCATCCAAGTACTAACCCCGCCCGACAGGGCTTAACTTCGGTGATCAGACGAGAACCGGTGTTCTCCCTGTGGTATGGTCGTAGGCGAGAGAAAAGAGAGAAAATTTGACTTCTTATACCGAGTATGGTGAACATGTAAGCGAGGCATTACTTCATTACCCTTCTCAGGCAACCCTGACCTACAAAACAGGCTGTGAAGTCTTCCTTTGTAGCTGTAAATAAATTCATGCGGCCACTTACACGGAGCTTGGCGGGCTTTCAAAACCCCTTAGGGCCTAGTAAGCGGTCCCAGTCTGCCTCGTTTCCGTGTTCCCTGTCCTCCTATGGGTTAATGGCCGAGCTGTTAGGGCCTGGGTACCCTGTAGACGCTATTTGATCCCTGTCTATACACACTGTAGTGTCCTGGAGAGCTTGGCCGAGTATCTGTGCTCGGACTGAGCCAATGATATCTCCCTGTCCTCGCATAGAGTGCCAGATGCATCATGGGATGCAACAGTATTGCAGCCACCACATCTAAGATGGGGAAGGAGCCAACCACCCTAGGTCCGGAGGACCTAAAGGGGCATCGCTTCTAGGCCCTTTGCCTAAGTGTCTCATCCTTGTGGGACGGGCAAGGTTCAGTTTTAGTGTATTTGGCTTTTTTCTTTTTTGTTTGTGGGGGCTGTGCTAAGTACTGGCCGGGCGGGAACGCCGTGCCCCCCACCCCAAATTTTTCGCTAAAGCGATTTTTCAGGAACGACTTGGTTCGTCTCCTGCGACGATGTCTGATCATGGTGATTGGGGTGATTCAGCCGACGACGATGGCAGCGAACTGATCCGCACCCTGTCGCGGCTGGTGCCGTTTTCTGATGTTGATGAAACCGTGTCCGAGAAGAGTTACCACAGTGATGGGAAGGCGGAGAAGAGCTACCACAGTGATGGGAAAGGCGCGCCTACCTACCCTGCTGCTGCGAAGAAGAACCTACCTGAGGAGGAGAGTGTTGAACATGTGTCTTTTCGCCCTAGCTATCTCTCAGACTTCGAGAAAGAGCACTTCCACCGCGAAAATGTTATGCCAGACCGGCCCTGTACGGCGTTCTTCACTGCTTCTTCTACTGCTTTTACTACGAAGGACATATTTGATGCTTTGTTAACTGATGGCATTCCCGCCTCCGCCGTCCGTTGCTTGCAGAGGTCTCCTAATGGCAACGTGCTGATTACGTTCGCGTCCAAGCGTTACCGCGATTTGTTCCTGCGTCGGTCCACTTTTGTGGTGCGGCGTGGTCGTTTTGTTACGCACCCTGGCTCACATCGCCTTTTGTTCGTCACCATTTACGACGCGCCACACGAGTTGCCCGATTCGGCGATTGAGCATCGTCTTGGCAAGTACGGCAGAATCTTCTCATCTCTTCGTGGCAAAGTTCCTGGATATCCTGATGTCTTCAACGGCCTTCGCCACCTACGTATGGATATAGTGTCCCATATTCCGTGTTTCTTGCGTTTCGGTAAATACCAGATCCGCGTTAAGTACGACGGCCAGCCGACCACATGTCGTCGTTGTAATGCTCGGGACCACCTCTTCAAGGACTGCACGAACGAGGTTTGCTTTAATTGTGACCGTATTGGTCACCACGCCAGGATGTGTCCGGAAGACATGCGCTGTTGTATTTGCAAGGAGGAGGGTCATCTAGCCATGGATTGTCAACATTCTTGGTACCGACGGCCCCCGCCTTCCTTAGGTCTCTCTCCGGAGACTGTAACTGGGGATCCTGTGGAATCTGCTCCTGCTCCTACCGCGGATACTGTTGCTGAGAGCCCTGTGGAGTCTGCTCCTGCTCCTACCCTGGATACTGTTGCTGAGGGTCCTGGTCCTGCTCCTACCGTGGAGGAACCCTCTTCCCAAGTTGCTGACACCGAAGATACATGTCCTTCACAACCTGATACTGCCGATTTTGAAAGCCAGCCCGATGGCTCTGGTGTTAGTGCTCGTGACTTGGATTCACAAGTCCCTCTTTTCTCTGGAGATCAACCTTCCCCGTCATCTGAGGCCGCTGTTCCTGCGTCTTCGCCTCCTGACACCTTCGTTCCATCTGTTTCTGATAGTACTCTTGGCCGGATACCTTCTGCATCTGAAGACCCAGTGCCTTCTGTTACTGACAGCGCCCTTGCTGAGGTGGAGATGCCTCATGTGTCCGAAGACCCTGTGCCTTCAGTTACTGACAGCACCCTTGCTGAAGTAGATCTACCTTCTGCGTCTGTCGACCCGGCGCCCTCTGTCTCCGATAGCGCTCTCGCCCAGGTGCCTTCTCCTTCTGATGCTCCAGCCTTGGACTTAACTCCCTCCGATGAAAATGGTGATGATGATGATATGGGCGACTCTGTTGCCTCCTTAGAGTGCCAGCAGCTTGCATCAGCTTGGAAACGGGTTTCCCGTAAAAAAGGTCAGCGGAAGAATTTGACCCGGAAAGCAGAAACCTCCCATTCCTTCGCTCCTGTTCGCAAGGCTACCCGGCCCAACCCACCAGGAGTGAAGCCTAGAAGAGGTAAGGACCCGCCTGAGTAGACTTTTTCCATTTTCAAAGGTTTAACAATTAATGTTCGCGGCTTGAGTGATGAAAAGTTTTCTTCGGTTGTTCGTTGTTTCTGTCAGGAGAAGTTAGATTTCTGTTTTATTCAAGAAACTATGATTTCAGATAAACAAGTTATTAATTCCCTTTCTTTCTGCTGGCGGGGCCCTAGCTTTTGGAGTCCGGCTGTCGGGAGGAGAGGAGGTGTAGCTATTTTGTTTTCAAGTGGTTTACAAGACAATCTCTCTGTTTGGAAAAAAGATACTGAAGGTCGGGTCCTTAGCATCCTAGTTAATCTTAATAATGTTCGTATTAATCTTATCAATGTATATGCGCTGACCGTGCCTGCTGAGCGTGCTCCCTTGTTTCAGTCTGTTCATAGTTTCTTTTTTCCACACTCCGAGTATGTCGTTGGGGGAGATTTTAATTGTTATGACAGCCCTTCTGATAAGTTCGGTGGTGATGTTTCTGTTAGTCCTGTGCTATCTGATTTTAAGTCTTGCTTTTCTCTTCGTGATGCGTGGAAAGCGTTACATCCTCGAGATTCTCAGTTTACGTGGTTCAGCCCTGACTTCTTGATTGCTAGTCATCTAGACACCTTTTTAGTTCCCAGGGGTTTCGTCTCGTCTGTTTTGTCGTGCGACATTGCTCCGTGTGTTTTCTCGGATCATGATTTTTTTTTCTAAGTCTTGCTTTAAGTAACTCCCCCAGAGTTGGTCCTGGAGTGTGGAAAATAAATAATTCTCTTTTAGATGATGAGACCTACTGTGAACAGAACTGTTCTTTAATTGACCGGTTTTTGCTCTTTAAACACACTTTTAAATCTGTTTGTGCCTTTTGGGAGTCGCTTAAGGAGGATATTAAGGCATCTACGATCTCCTTCTCGCGTCTGAGACGATTAGATCTTTCTCGACAGAGAGTTTTGCTTACTAATAGGTTAATTTCGGCTAAAAGTCGTCTGACCTCTGGTGATCTTTCTGTGAAGCCTGAAATTGTTGATCTAGAGGTTTCTCTTAGAACTCTTATTTCTTCGGAATCCGAGAGCGCGAAGATTAGGAGCCGTGTTAAGTGGTTAGGGGAGGGCGAAGCTCCAACCAGGTTCATTTTTAAGTCGGCCACTCAAAAGTTCGAGAAAAGCTTTGTTCATTCGATCTTTACCTCGGACGGTACCGAGGTCTCATCGTTGACGGATGTAATTAGAGCTCATGAAGATTTCTATTCTACTCTCTTTGCCGAGGAACCTGTTGATTTAGCAGTGCAGGAGCATTTATTATCGTTTGTCACTCGCCGTCTGTCGGACGCTGATCGAGAGATTTGTGAAGGGGTCTTATCGCTAGAAGAGGCTACTGAAGCTCTCAAACTTTCGAATTGCAATAAGACCCCCGGCCCTGATGGTTTGTCAGTCGAGTTCTATCTGGCCTTCTGGTCCAGGTTAGGTCCTCTTTTAGTTGAAGTTTTTAATGAGTGTCTCCGTGTCTCGGATTTGTGTCACTCAATGAAGTGTAGTGTTACGCGTCTCGTTCATAAAAAGGATGATAAAAGGTGCCTGAAAAACTGGAGACCGATTTCTCTTTTAAATGTAGATTATAAAATTTGTTCGAAAGCTTTTTCCTTGAGGTTATCCAAAGTCTTAGATTCTATTATTGATCCGGATCAAACGTGTTCTGTTCCGGGAAGATCTATAGTCTCTAACCTTCAGTTAATTCGTGATACCTTAGATTTTATA